GAACTGGCCCAGAGGGACCTTCAGGGCAGGGGGACAAGGGGACAACGAGTCCTTGTCCCCGGAGCTCCCGCCTTGCACCACGGAGCCGGATCCAGATCCATCCCATCCGGAGGTTTTGGGGGGGAAGGAAGAGGGATCTGGGGGGGAGAGATGGAGCTTCACTGACCCCCCCCTGCTGTCCCCTCCAGGCTGGGAAGGTGACACAGGAACCGCCGCGAGGTCCGACGGGCGAGGGCAGAGGATTCCTGGGGCGGATCCGGGCGGGACCTTCCTCCCGACAAGGTCAGTGGGGCCTCCCGGGGCTCTCCCTCCTCCTCCTCCTCCTCCCTGACCCCTCTGTGACGTCCCTGCCCCTCACCCCCTCCCTGATCCCGGCTGCAGATGGAGAAGGAGGAGGAGACGCGGGAGATCCTGCTGCCCAACTGGCAGGGCAGCGGCTCCCACGGCATCACCATCGACCAGACCGACGACGGCGTCTTCGTCAAGCGCGTCCAGCAGAACTCCCCCGCCGCCCGCATGGGCGTCGTCAAGGAAGGTGGGGCCTGGGGGGGACCTGGGGGGGACAAATTGAGGGGTTCGGGGCTGTTTGATCACTCCTGGTGGCACAGGGGTTCCTCCCCAAGGGTTTTTTTTGGGGGAAAAAGGGGGTCTTTGGGGCTGTTTGACCCATCCTGGTGGCACCTTGGGTGGTTCCTCTTCTGTCCTTGGGGGCAATGACCCCACTGTCACTCCTGGTGGGGTCAAGGGTCTCCTCCCCGAGGGTTTTTTTGGGGGAAAAATGGGGGCTTTGGGGCTGTTTATCCATCCTGGTGGCACCTCAAGCACTTCCTCCTCTACCCTCATGGGCACTGACCCCACCGCTGCTCCCGGTGGGGACGAGGGGGCTCCTCCCTCCCTCTCCCCCACCAAAATCTCTCACCCCTCTGCTCAACCCCATCCCCGCAGAGTGGGCACCGGGATGGTGGCACCGTGCCAGGGGAGTTCTGGGGAGGGAAAAAACGGGATATTTTGGGGCTGTTTATCCATCCTGGTGGCACCTCAGGTGCTTCCTCCTCCACCCTCATGGACGATGACCCCACAGTCACTCCCGGTGGAGTCGGGGGGCTCCTCCCTGAGGGTTTTGAGCGTAAAAACCAGGTCTTTGGGGCTGTTTGGTCCATCCTGGTGGCACCTGGGGTGGTTCCTCCTCCACCCTCCTGGGCACTGACCCCACGGCCACCCCCGGTGGGGACGAGGGGGCTTCTCCCTCCCTCTGCCCCCCTGACCCGCCCGCGCCCGCAGGGGATCAGATCGTGAGTGCCACCGTCTACTTCGACAACCTGCAGTCGGGGGAGGTGGCGCAGCTGCTGCAGACCATGGGCCACCACACCGTGGGACTGCGGCTGCAGCGCCGCGGCGACCGCTCCCCCCTGCCCGGCCAGCCCTGGGCCCACGACGTGTTCGCCACCGGCAGCCCCGAGGTCGTACTGGTGAGTACCGGGCGCTGGGGACGGTGGGGGGGACGGTGGTTGGTGGTTGTGGTGGTTGTGGGGGGAAGGAAGGCGGTGGAGATGCTGATCCGGTGTCGTCTCGGTTGCAGAGCGGAGATGACGAGGAGTACAGGAGGATTTACACCACCAAGATCAAGCCCCGGCTGAAGTCGGAGGAAGGGGTGGACGCCGAGGGCGGGGGGACGCAGAGCAGGACCATCACGGTCACCAGGAAGGTCACGGCCTACACCGTGGACGTCAGCCGGCACGGCAGCGCCGGCGACCTCAGCGCCGCGGGCACCGACCTCGACATCCGAGTCCCGAGCCCGGGAATCGCCCTCGGCGCCGACGGAGAGCCCGGGAAAATCCGGCTGCCAACGGGAGAGCTGAGGGTTCAACCAGAGAGCCAAATTCCTGGTGGAGAAACTGGAAAAGCCGTCCCCTTGGAGATGTCGACGGGCTGGAAAGGCTCCGGCGCCTTCCCGGGGTCGCCCAGGGTCGAAACCAACGGACAGATGGGAGAGCTGGAGATGGGATTCCACGTCAAGGGGCCCAGGGTGGACGGGAAAGGACAAGCCCCGTGTCTCCAGGGAGAGGTCGACGGGTCTCCGCCGCCCGTGGACGTGGGGAAGATCAAGATTCCTGCTTTAAAAATCCCCAAATTTGGGTTCCAGGCCGGCAGTGGTGAAGCTCCAGCCCCCCCGGCGGGCGCCGACACCAACATCACCTGCTCACCTGTCCAGGTGTCACCCCCCTCAGCCACAGCCGGGAAGGTCCCCTCCCCTCAACTGGGCGTCCCCGGCGTCGGCATCGACGGCCCTGGCATGGAGCTCACGGCTCACAGCGCCGACGGCACCAAGGGGAAGGTCAAGATCCCGCACATGACCTGCCCCAAATTCACCGCCCTGGACTCGCGGGGGGACGGCCCCGCCCTGGAAATCGGGGTCCCCAAGGGCGAGGCGGCCGTCGAAGGAGGGTGGAAAGGCCCCGCCTTCAAGAAGGTGGAGACGCCCCAAATCTCCCTGTCCGACGTGAACTTGAGCCTGAAAGGCCCCCAGGCCAAGGGGGACCTGGGAGGGGTCACCGTCCCCAAGGTGGGGGGAGACCTCCCGGGACTCGGCCCCAAGGGGCTCCAGGTGGACGTGAAGGCGCCCGAGGTGGAATTCGGGGGTCGCGTGAAGGGCCCCAGCGTGGACGTCGGCGCGAAGGGGCTGAAGGGAGAGGTGGACGTTGCCATCCCGGCCGTGGGTGGCGAGTTCAAAGGGCCCCAACTGGAGCTTAAAGGCCCCGCGGGGAAGACGCCGGAGCTGCACGTCCAGACCCCCCAGATCTCGGTGCCCGACGTCGACCTGAACCTCAAAGGTCCCGGAGTGAAAGGAAATCTGGACGTTTCCAAACTGGAAGGGGAGCTGAAAGCCCCCGGACTCGACATCAAAGGCCCCAAAGTTGACGTTGGGAGCCCAGACCTGGACGTCCAAGGTCCTGAGGGCAAACTGAAGTTCCCCAAGCTGAAAATGCCCAAATTTGGGGTGAAGGGAGAAACCCCCAATGTCGAGGTGACTCTTCCCAAGGGGGAGGTGGACGTTTCTGCCCCCAAAGTGGACATTTCTGCCCCCAAAATGGACATTTCTGGCCCCAAGGTTGACCTGAAGGGCCCCAAAGTGGACATTTGTGGCCCCAAGGTGGATGTTGATGTCCCGAGTGTGGACATCAAGGGCCCCAAAGTGGACATTGAGGCCCCTGATGTGGACATTCACAGCCCAGAGGGGAAGTTCAAGATGCCCAAGTTCAAGATGCCCAAATTTGGGATGCCTGGGGTCAAGGCTGAAGGCCCCGAGGTGAACGTGACCCTGCCCAAGGGGGATGTCAACGTTTCCCTGCCCGGGGTGGAGATGCCAAGCGTGGACATCCAGGGGCCCGAAGGCAAAGCGAAGGTGCCTGAGATGCACATCAAGGCCCCCAAAGTCTCCATGCCCGACGTCGACCTGAACCTCAACGGTGCCAAGGTGAGGGGCGACCTCGACGCCTCCGTCCCCACTTTGGAGGGGCCCCAACTGGAGCTGAAAGGCCCCAAAGTTGACATTGGGAGCCCAGACCTGGACATCCAAGGTCCCGAGGGCAAACTGAAGTTCCCCAAACTGAAAATGCCCAAATTTGGGGTGAAGGGAGAGACCCCCGAGGTCGAGGTGGCCCTTCCAAAGGGCAAAGTGGACGTTTCCTGTCCCGGTGTTGACGTGCCAAGCGTGGACATCCACGGGCCCGAGGGGAAGCTGAAGGGCCCCAAGGTGAAGGTGCCAGAGATGAGCATCAAGACCCCCCAGATCTCGATGCCCGACATCGACCTGAACCTCAAAGGTCCCAAAGTGAAGGGAGACCTGGATGTTTCTGCCCCCAAACTGGAAGGGGAGCTGAAAGCCCCCGGACTCGACATCAAAGGCCCCAAAGTTGACGTTGAAGTGCCCGACCTGGACGTCCAAGGTCCTGAGGGCAAACTGAAGTTCCCCAAGCTGAAAATGCCCAAATTTGGGGTGAAGGGAGAGACCTCCAATGTCGAGGTGACTCTTCCCAAGGGGGAGGTGGACATTTCTACCCCCAAAGTGGACATTTCTGCCCCCAAAGTGGACATTTCTGACCCCAAGGTGGACATCGATGTTCCGAGCGTGGACATCGAAGGGCCAGAAGTGAAAGGAAAAGGTCTCAAGTTTAAAATGCCCGAACTGAACGTTCAGACCCCAAAACTGTCCATGCCAGACGTGGATCTGGGGTTGAAGGTCCCAAAACTGAAGGGGGACGTGGCAATTTCTGGCCCGAAGATCTCCGGGGATCTGAAGGGCCCCAAAGTAGATGTGGAGGGTCCCAAGGTGGACGTGAAAGGCCCCAAAATAGACGTGAAAGGTCCCAAGGTGGATGTGGAAGTTCCCAAGATGGACGTGGAAGGTCCCAAAGTGGATGTTGAGTTACCTGAGGTGGACTTGGAATGCCCGGAAGGGAAGATAAAAGGCCCCAAATTTAAGATGCCAAAACTGAACATTAAGTCGCCCAAAATCTCGATGCCGGATGTGGATTTGAACCTGAAGGGCCACAAAGTGAAGGGAGAGATGGACGTTTCCCTCCCGAAGGTAGAAGGTGAGGTCAAGGGGCCCAAAATCGACGTGGAGGTCCCGGACGTCAACCTGGAGGGTCCGGAGGCCAAACTGAAAGTGCCCAAAATGAAACTGCCCCATTTCCACGTGTCCGGCCCCAAACTGGAAGGATCTGAGGTCGATGTGAACCTGCCCAAAGCAGAGCTGGAGGTGTCTGGGCCGGAGGTGGACGTCGAGGGGCCGGAGGTGGACGTGGGAGGTGCGGAAGGCAAATGGAAAGGTCCCAAATTCCGGATGCCGAAGCTGAACATCAAAACGCCCAAAATCTCGATGCCGGACGTGGATTTGAACCTGAAGGGCCCCAAAGTGAAAGGAGAGGTGGATGTGGCAGCTCCCAAGGTCGAAGGGGACTGGAAAGGGCCAGAATTGGACGTGAAGGGGCCGAAGGTGGATGTTGAGGTGCCCAACCTGGACATGGAGGGTCCTGAGGGGAAGGTGAAGGGCCCCAAGTTCAAGATGCCCGAGATGCACATCAAGGCCCAAAAGATCTCCTTGCCCGATGTGGACATCAACCTGAAGGGCCCCAAGGTGAAAGGAGACGTGGACGTGTCAATGCCAAAGCTGGAAGGTGACCTGAAGGGCCCTGAACTGGACATCAAGGGCCCCAAAGTGGACATCGAGGCCCCTGACGTGGACATTCACGGCCCAGAGGGGAAGTTCAAGATGCCCAAGTTCAAGATGCCCAAGTTTGGGATGCCCGGGGTCAAGGCTGAAGGCCCCGAGGTGGACGTGACCCTGCCGACAGGAAACCTGGATGTGTCCGGTCCCAAGGTGGACATTGAAGGTCCAGAGGTGGACGTTGAGCTGCCCGAGGGGAAGGTGAAGGGCCCCAAGTTCAAGATGCCCGAGATGCATTTCAAGGCCCCCAAGATCTCCATGCCTGATGTCGACTTCAACTTGAAGGGCCCCAAAGTCAAAGGTGATCTTGATGTGTCTGTTCCCAAACTGGAGGGTGACCTGAAGGGCCCAGACATTGACATCAAGGGCCCCAAAGTCGATGTTGGTCTTCCTGATGTTGAACTGCAAGGGCCTGAAGGAAAACTGAAGGGCCCCAAGTTCAAGATGCCTGAGATGCACATCAAGGCCCCCAATTTCTCCATGCCTGATGTTGACTTCAACCTGAAAGGCCCCAAGATCAAGGGTGACGTGGATGTGTCTGTTCCTAAACTGGAAGGTGACCTGAAGGGCCCTGAACTGGACATCAAGGGCCCCAAAGTTGACATCGAGCCCCCTGATGTGGACATTCATGGTCCAGAGGGGAAGTTCAAGATGCCCAAGTTCAAGATGCCCAAGTTTGGGATGCCCGGGGTCAAGGCCGAAGGCCCCGAGGTGGACGTGACCCTGCCAACAGGAAACCTGGAT